GTTACTCTATCATCTTGCATAGGTTTACAGACTCTTCTTTTGTATTCTCACCAATCTGCATTCAATCCGCAGATTAAATACAGAAAAAAAAAAAGAAAGTAACCGTTAAAACCATTCTCAACAACATTCAATCCTCTCTTTCATTTTTGTAAACTCATATTATTTTTACAGCTCATCTCACTTGCATCCTGGTTGTAAATCTAAGCTCAAATCCTATCAGTACCAATATAATTGTTTATATTTAATGTAAAAATGCATTCATTCAAAAACACAAAACAAACATATTCTATAAATTTGCATACACAATAAAAAGAATAAAAAAAAAGAAACTGAATAAAGAAACGAAAGAAATTAAAGTAGAACCTCTATAGTCAAACTAACATAATGTAAATTATGTGTACATGTATTATTATCTTTATCGAATTTGAAAGTATACATTTGTTTTTTCATAAAATTTAAGAAATAATAATACTTTACCTATAGTGTATATTTAAAAGTAATGTAAAGATAATTTTATTTTTATTTTTTAGTATAAAAGTAGTGATGTGATGGTAAAATATGTACATTTATATAAAAAAAAAATACTCCATCCGTCCCAATACAATAGTCTTGTTTACCATTTGTGTCCGTCCTAAAATAATAGTCTCATTTTCATAAATAATCATATTACTATAAAACTACCATTATTTTTTCATTATTATTACACAATTGTCATTACTTTTTACACTAATACACTCACAAGGGCAAAAAATTCTTTTACCCGTACTTTTTACCCATTACCAATATAATATCAATATTCTTTAAATTTTGTGCCAAACACAACCCAGACTATAGTTCTCGGACAGAAGAAGTATATAATATTTATAAAATAATTACTTTGTAATTGAATAACTAAAAATAAATATATATATATATATATTGTGAATGGACAAAATAAGTATAATTTTTAATAATAAGTATGGTATAGGGTTTGTTTGTTTAATGTTATTTTATGACGTGGAACCCAGACTATAGGCCTTGTAGCCTTGTAGCGCTCAACAGAACCATTGGAGTGAGTTTTGATTTTGTACACCCACTTGCAGCTAATAGGTTTCTTTCCAGGAGCGAGATCGACGATATCCCACGTGCCGGTCTTCTCAAGAGCCTGCAATTCCTCAGACATAGTGTCGCGCCACAAGGGATCACAGTTCGCCTCAGGAAAGGTGTTGGGTTCATGGTGAGATAAAATGACAGAAAAACAATGATAATCAAGTAGATGAGAGGGAGGACGACTTACACAGGTGGGTCACCGATCAGTGGCGGCAGGAACTGAAATTTCCGGAGGGTCGGGCACAGACTCAGGAGGCGCATGAGGGTCAGCTGATGGGGAAGGATCAACATCAGACAGGCCATCAGGAACAAGCGGGGGTTCGGGACCTGCAGGAGGAGGAGAGGAATTCAGAACAAATAACGAAGACTCTGACTCAAAGGGAATAGAAAATTTAGACTCAGGGGAAAAGAACTTATGCTCCCAAAAAGTAACATCCCGAGAGATACGTAGACGATTCGACACAGGATCCTAACATCGATAACCTTTATGTTCTATCCCGTACCCAAGAAAAAAACACAGACGGGTGCGTGGTTCTAATTTGTTACGTTCATGAGGATGAAGATGAACAAAGCTGACACAACCAAAATGATGAAGATGAGAGTAATCAGGTACCAGACGGAAGAGCCTTTCAAAAGGTGTGGTATCCTGAAATATAGATGAGGGTAAACAGTTAATATTATAAACAGCAGTAAAAGCAACCTCGCCCCATAACCGATCTGGACAACTGGCAGATAACAACATGGCTCGAACTATGTCTAAAATATGACGATGCTTGCGCTCTGCCCTACCATTTTGTTGAGATGTGTAGGGACAAGAACGCTGGACAAGAGTACCTTAGGTGGACAGAAAACTAAGAAAGGCATAATCATTATATTCGAGGGCATTGTCAGTGCGAAGAGTCTGAATAGGACATGAGAACTGATTTTGCACCATTTTAGCGAATGTAGAGTAAATGGAAACAAGTTCAGACCGCTTACGCATAAAGTAAATCCAAGTAAAGCGAGAGTAATCATCAATAAAAAGTACAAAGTAACGAAACCCAGTAAGAGTAGCAACATGAGAGGGCCCCCAAATGTCAGAATATACTAACAAAAAAGGTTTATCAGTAATAGACAAGTTATTTAAAAAAGGTTAAGCTGGTTGTTTTCCAAGTTTACAATGCAAGAAATCAAAAGACTCAAAACGAACCGTGCCTAAAACACCTGTATTTGCAAGAGACTTGAGTTTAGATAGGAAGGCATGACCAAGTCTGAGGTGCCAGTAATAGGAAGAGGAAGAAGAGATTGCAACAGAAATAGATGGTGTCTGGCGAGGGCAAAGGTGGTCAAGCTCAAATAGGCGGCCTATCTTGCGACCCGTCCCAAGTATCTGACCCGTCTGCGTGTCCTGAACCTGCACACCAGAATAAGAAAAAATTACAGTAAGATCCTGCTCAACCAACTGACCGACAGACGCAAGATTTAAGGCTAATTTGAGAATGACATAAATATCATCAAGATGGGGGGACGATATATGGCCAGTATAGGTAATTCGCATGGAGGTGCCATCAGCGGTAAGTATAGGAGGGGATGAGGTGACGGGTTGGGAGGAATGTAAAAGGCGAGGGTCAGGTGTCATGTGGTTACAACAGGCAGAATCAATATACCATGTGTTGTTACCTGATATCGAGGCTAATGAAGGATGAATTGATAAAACCTGAGTGAGCATGTGACGTAGGTCCTTAAGAGTGGGAGACGGTTAAGGCTACTGTGATACGCTAGTGGCAACAACAATGGCAAAGGAAGAGCAGAAGAGGACTGACCAGCCTTGGGATTCTTGGGACAATACGGACGGATGTGGCCGTTCTTATGACAGTAGTGACACTCAACCTTAGGGCAATAGATATAAAGATGATCAATATTCGGGCAACAACGACATTGATCAGACTGCAGTGGTTAGACATCCTTTCGATTATCTCTGCGATGAGGAGTAGAATATGGAACTGCTAAGGCCGAATCACGAGTAGGAGCCTTGAGCATCTTGAGGCGGGTGTCCTCAAACAAAATCTCCTTCATCGCTGTCTCCAAGGAAGGCAAGGGATGACGCTCAAGTAAAGAAGCACGCATAGACCATATTCTGGACCAAGCTTCATCAAGAGCTGAATCAACCGAAAGTGCTCAATCTGTATATCGGCCTCATCAATGCGATCCCACATAGAATGTATAGTAGAGAGGAACTCATTCATATCTTGGCGCAAGCCATGTGTCAGTGCATTGAATGACCCTATAAATTGATAATAATGCATGCCTCCAGTGGCCTAATATCGATGTTGTAAATAATCCCAAGCTTTCTTGGTAGTGTACATGCGGCGAAGTTGAATATGAATGGACTTGGAAGAGGTATTCCGAATCCAAGTAAGAATATTATGGTTTTTACTATCCCACTCATCTAAGGCATTCCGATAGTCCGTGAGATCCTTATTGTTAAGGGGCGCCGTAGAAGTGATAACAGGAGCAACCGGTGCAGAAAAGTCGTCAGTAACATAGCGTGATAATCTTTTATCAATCAAGAAACTCTTCGTGGATTCAGCCTATAAATCATAATTATCACCAGAAATAATAACAATAATCCCGGAAGCGTCTACACGATCCATATTAAGAGCCATACTATGAAGCGAGAAAATCAAGAATAGTATAAAGCGCGCAAATAAATAGTGCAGAAAATTAGACTGCGGCTGCCGGCTGCCACATGCCAGTGTTGGCAGCGAAAGCAATAAGGATTAGTAGCTATGTTTATCTCAGAAGAAAAATAGACTATGATACCATGTTTGAATATTTGCGAAAAATAAAAATTATGTTTTAACCTATAAAAAAGAGTGTATATATATAGATATATATGGACCCCAAATAATAATATATAAAAAATATACTAACACCAGTAGTATTAAAGTTAGTGAAAAACGCTATCTCCGTCCAAATGCTAATGTTGTTCGGAAATATATATTTAATTATGCAAATATTCATGGACGATGTAAGTGTGGACTGGGGGCCAATTGACCCCCAAGCCCCCAATTTTTTTTTTTTTTATAGTTTAAAATAAATAAAATTTGTATAAATATATTATTTTACCCTCTCAAAAATTTAAATTTATTATATATTTTGTTATTATTTTTTAATTTAATTTATATTAATATAATAATTTTAATTATATTTTATTTATATAAAAAATATAAATTTTTATGCTAAATATAATTATAGGTATCTCTTTGCATTATCTTTTGGCATCAAAAGAAATCGAAGAAAATAAGATTGAAGTGGTATGTAAGACAACTTGACCGTCATGTTTTTATAAATTTTTAAAATTTTTATTAAAAAAAAATTAAACCGTCTATTTTAATAATAATAATAATTAAAATCGACGATTCACAACTTGAAATATACTAAAATCAAAATCAAACCATAAAAAACTCAATACTTACTGAACAATTTTGCTCTCCTTTAACTTCGGAAGCTGGTTCCGTCCCTGCAAATATTATCCAAATAAATGAGATAAAATACCTTAAATATCATTTTTTGAATAAAATAAATAAACAAAAAAAAATTGATCAACAATTTAATTTTTACCGTTTGTAAAATAAAGACGAACAGTGATTTAATTTTTATAAACTTTTGAATGAAATGTTGATCATTTCTTTATTCATAAAATGATATTTAAAACAATTCACCCAATTTATTATATAATTAGACAAATATTTACAAATATTAACATTTAGATGTAAAATATTTTGTGTTTACTTTAATATAGCACAAAGAATTTACACAATAAATAATATATTGATTTTTTTGTTAGAAAATAATATATATATATATATATTATTCTTATTACATATAGTTGGAATTAAATCTCTATTTTCACAAATGAATTTAACATCAGTCCCTAATATTAAATTGTTACACTACAGTCTCTCCTTTCCAATTTCCATTTATGTTTACTCTCTACCCATTCAATTGCAATTTTCCTCTTCCAAACTCGGTCGTTATTTTTCGAGTGAAATTGGAAGTAAAATCCAATCGCCAGATTTCTGGCAAATGTGAAATCGTTACCGCAGTCCTGTTGCTCAAAGTCCCGCGAACGCGAAGATGTATTTCTCTCTGTTTGGCACAGCCGTCTTGAAGAAAGCCCTTCATCTCTGGCGAAGACCTACACCGTTGTTTTTGAAAGGTTAGAATCTCTTTTTTTTTCCGAATGGATACAAGTTCTCAAAGGTATTTCGTGATAAATGTTATGGTTCTTTATATTGTTTTCTAACTAAATTAATTGATATTTTTTCTGAATTTTTTTATAGTCTGGTTCTTGATTGTCATAGCCTTAAAAATCCTTTTATTTTTAAATTATTTTATGAATACTAAATAATATGTTGTAAATGGTTAGTAAGGAGTTGTCTTAATTTCTCTTCTTCGAAATAGCTGTGGTTGTGTGGGTATGTTGTGATTTTCCCGCAGTAGGAAACAGAGACGAAACCCAGAACGGGTGACTCAAGCAGGCAGTGACACAAGCTGCGAGGGTTGGTTCATCCGGCGGTCAGTGTTTGGCTACATCGTTGGATCAACGGCTGACTCAGTCTTTGAAGAAATTATGCACTTTAAGTACCTGAATTGATTTGATTTGGTGAGCTTGGACTTGGCTTTGGCATGGTCACTGCATTTACCGTTTTGGAATTAAGTTAATAAATATACTTATAATACAATATGAATTTATATAATTGTGTGTGTGAATTTGAATTTTGAGAATCCAATTACAATGTGATTCAATGTCTTCGTAAGTGAAATGCAATTGATACATGCATTTTTAGGAAACATGCATTTGTGGTATGATATTGAGGATCTTTGGGACTAACTAGTGCATAATGTTCTTTCTTTGCAAGCAACCATTGATACTTAGAAGGTTTATGATCTTTCAGAAGCATAGCAATTATTTTCTTGTTGTGATTCTTTATGATCATATTCATCTACTGCACTATTATCTTGTTTCCTATATTGATTTCTCAATTGATCAGCAAATCTTTTAATGAGTTTTATGTATCATACCACTTATACTATTCAACACATTACAGGTATATGGTCCAATCAGTGGTAATTCTCTTTCTTTGTATCCCCATATTTTATAATATCTTCTTATTTCTCTGATGGTTTGAAGCACATACTTAATTGATATACTTTTAGTTATACATTGATTTAGTTATATTGCTAATTAAGTATATATGAAATGAAAGGTTTTGCATTTTTTTTTTTTTCTGTTTTGGTGATTTTCTATTGACAGTTAAAGAGCCTTCTACAGTATATTTTAGATGTTGCGTGGTGACATTTCCAAAGGATTTTGGATGGTGGCTATGATAGGGGCTCAATAACGGCTAATATTTTAACCAACTCATTTCTCACTTACTTTACCATCCACAAGTGAGAATGGACACTTGAGGTATTGATGTAAAATGTCCCCTGCTACTTTATTGTAAATTTGTATACTTCTTCTTTGGATAAGTTTCAAGTATGGGTGTGAATACTATCGTATGGAATTCATCTCGATAAATGTATCACGAGTAATTATATGGTTCTTAAAATGATCGATTTTTCGAGTTGAAAGGTTACATGGGCATAAGTATACGTATCCAGAGTATTTGATATGTGTATATTAGTATGTAAAAAATAAAACATAAAAATAATGTATGTAGTTACGTGACTAAAGTACTCAGGTATTAACAACGAGTTTATGAATATATATATATATATATATTTGGAATGTATTATCTGTTGATAGCAGGTATCTTTAAATTTAGTTAAATTTCTATAGTGTCGGAGAGTTCTCTAAGGGTGTGTTTGTTTGGGGGTTTGGATTTTGAGTTGGGATTTGAATAGTAAAAATTTTGAATTTGAATAGTTGTATGATGTGATATAAATAGGTATTGATGTGATGTTTTGAATGTAAAATTAATTTTTAGTATAATATAAAAAATGAAAAATAGGTGTTCGATTTGATGTTTTTGGGGGAAAAAATTGGATGAATAGTAGAATTTTGTTAAAATTCTACAAACGAACACACCCTAAATGAGTTTTTACATTTTAGATTACTATGTTATGGGTCAAAATATTTTAAATAAGAAATATTTGTCATATTACATAGAAAACACAATAGTTCTAGTAGTAGATTACAATTCATATTTTCAAGTAAGTACTACATTTTCCGTTTGTTACTTCGTGAGAGTGAAATTAAGTTGCATCAACGGTTTAATAATCTCGTAGTAGCGGTCGTGCAGTCTAGTAATGAAAAATATTTTAACAAACATCTTTATGACTTTGTTTACCATCCACAAATAGATATTAGACATTTATTATATACGTGTGATGGTATTTCCCTATAGGGATTTTGTAAAAGTGTACTCTTCGCATTTTAATACTATCTAATAATTGATTAGAGTACTATGATGTTGAATTTATCCCAATTTACCATTAACAAGTGAGTATATGATATCCAAAATGATCGGTTTCTTAAGTAAGGGTTCCCCTGGCATAAATATGTGTACGCGGGGCATTTGATTTTATATTATAGGTATAGAACTAACGAATCACGACATAAGTATAATGTATGTAGGTACATGAATGTGTGTACCGGGAATAAACACTGACAATAGAAGTACATATATTTCATAATTAAGGTATTAACTGTAAAGTACAAGGTATTCATGAATATAATTTATTTCTGACAACAACAGTCAATCCTTAAAAATAGGGGCATAAGAAACTCGGTGAGAGCACGTCCTCTATTATCCTCTATTATACCTTGATGAAACTTTCAATCACTCTATATATACATTCAACAAGTTATGCAACACATTCAACACGTCATCTATTATCCTCCTCAATCATTGTACTTATCATTTGGTCGTCATCGCTCTTCACCTCCTCATTGTTGCCCTCGTCGACACTATCCTACTCCTCAGCTTCCTGCCATAAGATTACGTTGTTAAGTTACACGCACGACTACATGAGGTACACAACTACTAGAATTTGGTACACCATACGAGCTTGGGGGTATGACAGACCCGCTCTGGAGCACTTGCCCACCTAGTTGAGTCATGTGCTATACAAGTATGTCCCTCACCGAATGTTATTGTGTATAGAACGATGTGGATTAATACGGTAGTTCTAACAATTTTCAATTTATTGCAGAAGTCATTTACATTAATAACCAATATAATTTAACTTAATCAATTATGACTTGTTTAGCCATTTACAAGAGGAGGTTGAAAGATGATTATACGTATATCATACAACTTAACTAGTTATTTATGACTTGTTTAATCATCAATAGTAAATACGTGTTGTTTACCTTTCCATACACTTCGGGGTGTTACGGGAAATATTATCATGGTTGAACTCATTCATGGTTACTGTCATTTAGTGAATATTTCAAGCAACAAGGCAGGTTCTTCAGCCACAGGTTACCAAGGCATATGTAATCGTAACTGAAGTATATTTGATTGTTATTGTAGGTACGTAATATCTTATCTAGGATATCTATATTTATGATTCCAGCATGTAACCATGTGATCCGAGTACAAACCTTGATATAGGAGGTATAGATAATGATTTCGTAGGCAATAAATTTGTAGTACCAAGTATCCTCGATTGTAATTTATTTCAGTCAATCCCACACACAAAGTCTAATGAGCGAACTTGGTGAAAGAACTTCCTCTCTCGAATTTGGTGGACAAAAGATTGTGTTTTGTGTTACAATGTGTATTACTTGGTAATAGACCTAAATAACTAATCAATACATGAGAATAATGATATATGAGTAACAATCAACACAACTTACCCTAGTCACTCATGATTTGAACATGTGTTAGTTATTGTTCCATACACTTCGGGGTGTCATAGGAAAATAATATTGATTAATTCATCCGTGCTTACCAATATCAATTAAAAATTTCGTATCGAGAATAGCTTATTTCCGAACCAAAAATAACCAATGCGTAAATACACATTATTGGAGCATATGAAAGTATATTGCTGGTACGTAATAACAACTCTGGGGGTATTACAATTCTTGTGTTGATTGGTAGTTACAACTAAAATTACGTATAAAGCAACAAGTTTCCTTGAATCACATCGTGAGTACTTCCTCTATCAACGGAGGTATATGCATGAATGTTAAGTTGATACATATGTTGTTACATGAAGTATTTATGGGCAACCAGTCTATTATATTGTAATGTATGCAAAACTAATATTGTTTGAGCATCAATAAAGAATGCGTAAGTATTATATATATAGTTGCAAGTATCCTTCAATATGGTCAATATCAGTCAATCCTTCGATGATGGAGGTAATTTAGGCACTCTATGGGAGCACTCCCTCTATTAGCGATGGTATGTGTAATATTCTTAAGCCAGTATATGTGTTGTCATTGGAAGTATTCGTGGTTCATCGGCCTAATATATGGTAATGTCTAAAAGTAGAACCGTACAATAAAAACCACTAACATGATCAATCATAACATGCTAGAGAATAACCATAAACAACATACAACTACTTTGTTCTTCTCATTCACTCCACTCTCAACAAATATCGGTGGCATACTGCTCCTCATGCATAGTAAAGTCCATGTTGTCCGGCTGATAACTATTGACCAAAGCCAGTATCAATGCAACGTGAGTCTCATTTTTGGACAACCGAGAAAGTGTCCAAACAGAGTTTGCTTTATTTTCTTAATGTGAGAATCTGGCATTTCTTTCTTCAGCTTCGTCCACCTCATTATAAAAGTGAGAAATGGCAAACCGGCTAACTACATATTTATACTCCTTTCCCATTCTGTGAAAAATTAAATATCGGTCCGTAATGGAGAATCTCGAAATACTTTATAGGTTTACTATATATACGGGGGAACACATCAAAACACAACTCAGGTACATATATAACTCCCGTAAGTATATTACATAGCATGTTAGGTATAAAAGATGCAATTGTGGGTGCATAAAAATATCATAACTGATTCTCAGCCGATTTAACTTGTAATACAAATGTCGACCCCTAAAAATGATTAATAATCTTAAAACAACCAACCAACATGTAAAAATTAAACAATCGCAGCCAAATTGAACTTATCGTCCCGTAGAACCTCTTAAAAATATAAAACGTTAAACCCTAAACACACAACTATGTCCAAGCACATATTTCGGAAAATGAGGGTTTCTCGATGAAAAACAAAGACATACCATATTGCGGCCGAGATTTAAACCGCAATCGAACAAACAATCCAAGGTAAAAATACTATAAATAAAATAAAATTTTTGGGAAGAACGAAAGAAAACTTACTTATTCGCGTTGCGTCGGGGTGGACTTGTTTCTAGTTTCCTCTTCGCTATGTTTTTCGGTTTGTCGGACGATGAATGAAAATGAGAGCGATTGGTTGCTGGTGAGAATTGTGAAAGTTGAGTAGGGTTTCATTTGCGATTGAGAGTTGTGAGTGTTGGTTTTCCCCCGCCCCACTATCAAATTGTGTCTATAAATCTGTAATTGCTATTTATTTATTTATTACTTTTTTTTTAAAGGTATACAGTAAACATACATAGGTAAATATTTAGAACAGAGGGAAAAATTATGAGTATATATAATAGTTGTATGGACATATATATATATATATGAGATCGAAATATTCATTATCTTTTAATATTTAGAAATTAAAATAAAGATAAAATATCAATAGGGAGTTTATAAAAATAAAAATTAAAAAAAGGAGAAGAACTACGTACTAATTTATTAACAAAGGAGATTGAACTTTAATTCATTAGGTATCAAGGATTTAATTCAAACTTTTCCTTCTTATTTGGATAAAAATCAAATCAGTAATTTTCATTAAAATATTATTATTTTTTTTTACTGTCATATTTAAATATTATTTAAACAAATAATTCAAATAAAAAAGTCAAATTCAATCTAAAATCAAGCAAAACTTTCCATAATTAAACGAATAAGAGTGTGCACTCTTTGTGTTTATATTTAATTTTTTATTTTTTTTTGCATATTTGAGAAATTAATAGTTACATAGTAGTATTACATTTTGTATAGAAACGTTAGCACTGATTGTTAGATTTTATAAAGAAAAATTTAAAAATTATACAGTAAAACATTAAAAATATATAAAATAGCAAAATCTTAGTTTTTTTTTTTTTTTTTTTTTTTTTTAATCTTTAACGAGCGAACAAATTTAATTACTAAAAGTATGACGGTGATTTCAAAATAGAAAATTTCACGTTATTATGAAAGTTTTTTTCCAATAGATATAAAATCTTTATTTCTTTGACTTTTCTCCCCATTTCTTACCGTTAGTAGAAACTGACGCAATACGATAATCCGACACGAATCCAACACAATAATTAGATTTGGATCAAAGATTTCAACTCATTATGTATACGGGTTGATACGAACCCGTTGAGTCTCTCAATTTGAATCCGACACGACAATCCGATTATAATATATTAATATTAATTAATATATTTATTATATATGTAAAACGATTATGATTATATAATTAGCCCACATATTTTAATATATGTTCAATTTTAAATAATTCAATCTATTCATTATGCACGTTACACGGTAAACAACAAAAATTAACATAACACCACAACATACACAAAAAATAATTGAATTTGAATAAAAGATTCCGATTTAATTATGTATACGGGTCAACACAGGTCAACACGAATCCGACACAATAATAAACGTATCGAGTGAAGATTGAGTTATTTAACGCGTTTAAAGTAGTCAATCCGACATGAATAGACTCATTTCTTATTCATGTATCTCTCTTTTTCTCTTCCTCTCTTATATTCTCTTTCTTTCTCCCTCTCTTCTCTTCGGTTTCTACCATTGTTTATTTGTAAGGTGAAAAACTTCACAAACTTACAGTAAAAGTTTCTGAGCTCAATTTTATGGAGGCTGAGGACTTAATTTGACCAGCCAACTTCAAATATGCAAAACTTACTAAGGGTGTGTTTGCGAGATTTTGGTTTTAATAGTAAAATTTTAAATTAAAATTGTTATTTGATATGATATAAATATTTATTTATGTAAAATTTTGAATGTTTAATAAATCAAACATAAGTCTTTCATTTGATATTTTTTGAATTTTTTTTTTTTTTTTAATAATGAAACAACATCAAAATCTCACACTAAACACACCCTACGAAGCTTTGGATTGGGCCATGATTAATTGATTAAATTGGCAAATACACAATGTAGGTGTGTCTGGTTTGTAATTCCATTTGTATGTTTTTTGTTAAAATAATAAGAAGAAAATATGCTACATTTTTATTAAAATATGAATAATAAATAGAAAAAGAACAAAAAAAGTGTAAAAAGAAGAAACATGTGTATGTTCTTGCACTACAATATTACCCAAGTAAATGAACAATCAAAGATTCTTCAGACAACAACACTATAGACAGAAAGAAACAGACATCAAAATATCATACAACAACAACATATAATACCTCCTTTCTCATCATCTCATCTGATACGCTCTTCCCTCTCTAAATCAACAAAATTAACACTCAACTATAACAGCCTTTCGTATATAACAACAATAATACCTGTATGTAAGGGGTGAGTACACTCCTCAGTCAGCATGACCTCAGCAAAACCGGGCCGACCGACGAGTCGAGCACGTCGCCGAGCGCAGCCTGGACCTCGTTCGTCCCGTGCTCGCAGCTAATCAAGCTCGAGAGTAACGGAAGGAAGCAAGACAAGTTCTTCTTCAGCGACGAATCTTCCAAGGCGCTCACGGCGTGTAGCGCCGCAACGATCACGGGCGCCCGTGCCGCCAGCTCTCTCCGTTTCCCGGAACCCAGAGGGATCATCCAGCGTCGATCCCCGTCGAGGGATGATTCGGCGATTCGGTTTGCGCTCGCCACTTCAATGTACGACCGGAGAACTTCTTGGCAGAGATCGACGAGGCGGGACTCCACTTCGGGACGAGAGGGCCCATCGACGACGAGGTTCTGTAGAACCACGAGACCAATTTGGTACGACTCGTTCTCGAGACGGAGCAGTGGAGGATCCTGCATCTGGCTGAGCTCTTGCAGCTTCGCGCACAGCCGGGCGTCGCTGTTTATCCCGTGAGCATTTAATGCGACGGCATGCGATGCCTCGAACAGGATGACCGTGTTTTCGACCGACAGCTGAGCTCGGTAAGCATTGTAGATCTCCATTACAGCCTGCCGCAATCGACAATGTAATAAATCCGAGGTGTTTTAAAGAGTGAAAACACGGATAATTAGTCGAACTGCGAACCTGAATTAGTAAAAGCTGAACAGCAGCGCGGCACTTGGCGTCCGATACAGCAGCGTAGATGCGATCACTTCTCAAATTACTATCCGAGATCGAACCAACATCATCGTGCACGAAGGAGAAGTCGGGGAGTGTTTCCTTGGAAGCTTCTTTGAGAGCCGAGACAACCTCGAGCCACTGATCTTCGGAAAATGAATTTCCAGCACTGCTCACCAGGCGAACGAAAGCAGTAATACCGATGCCGGCAAGGCTTTGATGCGGGCGTTCGATGAAACTCACCAACAGCATCAGCACTTTCTTCAGGAGCGGATTGACCGTGTCGTAAAAATTGATGAAGAGATCTACAACCAGCTGTAAAGCCAATGTGCAAGTTTCGTAGAGCCAGGAATCTTGGTCGAGTTCTTCCAAGTTGCTATTAGCAGCGCGGCCTGGCGAGTTCTCACCGGGTGGGTCAATAGCATGTCGAGCATTGTCGAAGATTCTGAATAGGACGGATTCGAACACCTTTTCCCACAAGGAGAGCCCGAAATGTTGGCCGTAGTTGCGCAAAGTGTCGAAGAGTACTTCCAGGGCGTTTTTCCTGATTTCGGGCTTTGGGTCGAAGCTCAGCTCGGATAATCCTGACAACATCAAGAACGATCATTTTTTTTGAACTACTCGTAAGATGATGACGCCAATTATTGTTTTTTCTTGTAATTACCTGCCAATAAGGGGAACCATAAGTAAAGATGATCCACATTATGTGCTGCTTCTCCATTGTCGAGTTTTACCTCTTTTCCTTTCCGAGGTGATATTGAAGGTACCTGGCCTATATCTCCATCAGCAAGCTTTGCAGCGCAGAATCGAAGGAAACCGATGCAATTGAGGCTGATCTCTCTGCTGAATCGATTATTAGTGAAGGCTATCAAACAATTTACACAGTCGGTGAAAGTGGTGGTCTCAGTTTCAGTAATATAGGGAAAATAATCGCGGATGATCTTCTCAATGATTTCAAAGGCGAGGAAGACAATGTTCTTATGATCATCATACGCGGCTGTCGTGAAGACCTGTCATTTTCGTAATCAGGGAAGAAATTATAAAAACAGAATGCACCATAATTTACGCAAGGAAAGTTGTAAGAAATCAAGAAATAAAAGGGAGGATAGTTTCCTACCATGAACATACTCCTCCATCCAGATTTGACACAATTAACTCGAGAAAGCACCATCTGAGAAAAGCATCTGATAATCAGTTCCCTGATTTCGACAGAATTGCTCTTGCGCATCACTATTACGAAAGGCTTCATGAACTCATTCTGGAAGTTGTAATTAGCCAATTCTTCTCGCTCCAAGAATTTCTTTGACAGCTGCCGTAGAGAATCCATTGCAAATATTGCAATAGAAAGGTTTTCTGAACAGCCAATGGTCACAAAAAGATCAGAGAGCACTTGCCATATTTTCGACCAGACGAACCTGATGCGATTCATGTTGTAATGCCTGTTCAAAGGGAACAAATTAAATAACACGTACACAGCATACGCAAAAGACAACAAATAGTAGCATACCAGCTTCATAATAATTAATAGGGAATAAATTGAATGCTGAACTACTAAAATCACGTACGCAATCTCAACAATCTTTGTAAGGCTGAAAACTCGCGGATCCGATGCAGATCCCAGTTCTTCCATAGCCACCTTGCAAAGTGCCTTGACAAAATCAACTATTGCCTCACTATTTAGTTTTTGGCTCCTTACAAATATGCGGTTCACTTCACCAACTTGTTCCAACATGTTCAAATTCGAGACCAAGTTGTTCATTTGTTCGGATGTAATTACAGCAGCCACATTACCACCAATCCCAGCACTATCGTAAGATCCCCTCCTCACAGCAGACGCGGCATTCCAAATCTTCCCAGAACCCTTCTTTTTCAGGGCAGGGGAAGTATCAGATTTCCCTAGTTTAGATTTGTCTGATTCATTCTGATGAATCCCAAAGAACGTCGCATCAGGTGGAGCGCCTTCTCCTAAGAGATGCAAATGTTCAAACCTTGAAACACATGTTAAAACATGTTCCCAGGCCTCCTGTAAATAGTTCCCATCTTCATCCGCTATTGCAATCATAGCCTGCTCGCAGAAGGTAAAAAATTGCAGAGTTATTCAAAAGAAAGAAAAATAAGTAAACCCACAATACAAATACTTGTTCCACCATAAAAGGTACGGTAAGCTACCTACCTTGATTGCATCTATGTTTTTTTGTTTAATATCTGCAGGTGAGTGGAGAGATGTAAACTTTGCTAAAGATGTCACAAAAGCATCTCTATGGGTTTTTGTGGCCATTGCTGCAGTAACATGAATTGCGCTGCGAAAACCTTCCAAGCATAGGGATATGACAGTGTCATCGTCACTCTGATCAAGTGGAACACTGAAGGCAGCCAACATTGGTGCCCAACATGCCTCAATCATGAACCGGAGTATCACTGCATCTGTTGCAGGATAATAAATTGACCTAGAATTTACAAGTTAAAGCTCAATAACAGTGCAGAAAATCATACTTTTTAGTCACGATATCTATTGCGCAATAGGAAAGAATGAATTAACACAAATTCATGCTTGACAAAACATGTACTCTCACATTTTATTAACCAGATAAACCACCTACTTGATACTATAACTTCATCAAGTACGTCTGTCTGTGTCAATAAATCATAACCTTTAGTCGAAAGAAATAATGAATGTAGACATGTATTGCAAAGTAAGGTATCAAACATGCTCAACACCAGAAGGTACTAGACTTTCATAATTAATCTTACTCTGACTTTCGAGCCTTTTCTTTGAACTGTTCCTGCATGTGTCTAATGAGGTCGTCACTGGTCTCCATACTGTCTTCTCCTCGTTTACGGATCACAATATTCAGTATACTGTCTAAGCCTAAAACTCTGCCCGAATTCACAGACTGTGTTTGTTGGATCGACACATCATCTTCTTTCATTTTAATCTCATTTCTTGATATTCTTTCAAATAATGATCTTAGGTCCTTCTCTGGTAAATCTTTTCCATCATCAATTCCGCGATTGTTCCTTATAAAATCCTCAGCTGACATCTGTTTAAGGGAGGCTATAAGAAACCAAAGAATAAATTCTATCTCATAATGCACAAAATTGCATTAGGCAGAAAGTCTTAAAAGTACAAAAATACCTTGGTTTTGACCATAGGGTTATGTGCATCCGTATTCAGCAGTATAACAGAGTAGGCAAGGACATAAGCTGTGTCGGCACTTGAGAATGTCTTTGGATTACATTTGCAGTATCGTTCAGCAAACTTTTCCATAATACGATCAATCTTCTGAGCTTCACCAGGCAGTCTAAAACCCTGTAGGAAGACCCTAATTGCATCATCGAACTCCATGCCTTGGAAATCAAAAGAATCCACATAAGCATGCATCACTTTCAGTGACAAATCTTCCCTTTCACCCAAATAGTCGCCAATCAGGGTTTTATTTAAACCAGATGCATTTTTAAGAAAAGCTGCTATCTCCTCAGGTGACTTTCCCACTTTATTTGCATTTATCAGGTACTCAATACCTTTCTTTGGTTTCCGATTAAAAAGAGAAATGCCTTCCTGTAATATAGTACACTTAACCATTAATACTATGTTTCACATTACGAATGTCACTATCATAACCATGTCAATTAAAACAAACTAAACTTAATTGGCACCTGCAGTTCTAGTTTGTATGCACGACGTTGCTCAAGCATCGAAACATCAGAAGCTTCAGTAGAACCTTCAGCAGGACCATCTGAAACTTCAGGGTGCTCGTCTGCATTGCCATTTGCAAAAGGGTGACTCCCAGGATCAGAAGTGTTTCCAGCCGCATCTAGTTTCTTGGCAGGCTGAGAATCTGGAATTCGTAACTGCTTGTTCATCCAGTCACCCATGCTCTTCAAAATAGCTACCAAGCATTTCATAGCTTCTAGTTTCATGGTTGCATCTTGAGGAGGTTGAAGGGCACTTGCCACACCATGTGGAACCCCTTGAGCAGTTTTAAGCAGCCCGTTGACCAACCTGGAATATCATGGGAAGGAATGAAGAGAAAGAAGAAACTTCATAAAAGTATAAACTACTGAATATTTCATGCACATAATTATGAATGTCAAAAATCCTCATCATAAGATAACTGACTTAGAAGCATAAATCTAATAGCCATACCTCTCAAATATGTTAGACGCATTAACATCACAATCATAGTTGAGGAATATGTCTACCAAGATCTGCGAATCACTGCACAGCTTTCCCAGAAACTGAAGCACTGTCATCTTTTGCTGAAAATTTGTTACAGCAACATTTTCTAGGACTCGAAGAATTATCATGGGGAAAAACACTCCAATTTCTGCTTTCAGTCCAGCTCTAAATCGCGATACCAGACTTAATAATATTGAGCAAGAAAGCTGGAAAATGATCATAAGGTTTGAGGCACTGTTCTTCAATAGTGATAGACACAAATATTGCTTTATAGCATCTAAAAACCTGTTCAATACGAAAACAAATCATTGTTATCGGTAATTATAAAAACAGAAATAATCAATTTTAAAAAATAAAGGAGGAAAACGACTAGCAAAGGGTTAATATATATTAACTTGTGCTACGGATAACAAAGGCACTGGCGGTTGATAGAGTGTCATAAGTGGTAATACTAGTAAAAAGTGTGCGGGAATCTCCTACTTATCTGATCAAATTTCTGTCCCATGGGCCTAAACATGGTTTGGACTGCTTGGCATTAAAAACAATATGGAACTAAATCCAAGTTAAACTAGCATATTGTAGCTTTTCTTTCATTTCTCAACATCAAAGATAACTGCATAAGTTTAGTATCCAGCATAAGCAACCAGTTGCTCCTCCAATTCATCATCTTTTTATGTGGACAGACGGTGGCGATGGGAAAAGAGAATTGGACTGGAATATCTTATCCTTCCCCTTGCAGATCAAGCATTGAAAGGAGCCATTCAAAAGTTATCACATGCCCAAACATATAATGCAACCTCTAAAGCAATTTTTTAATCCAAAGCCACCAAAAATGCTCGTCCGCATGGATGCTTAGAGGTTCCTGTGCATTTCCCCCTTAGAACATAACAATGGAATCCCAATCACTCAATGAAATAAGCTAAAATTCGGATGAGGAATAATGCATTAGTGAAGCAAGGTCAAATGCAGGAAACTTTTTATGAGAATGATGTACTGTAGATTGCAAATATATAATAACAGTATACCGCAGGCCTTATTTCTTTTGGTTTTTTTTTTTTCAACTAATACATGTGACCCCCAAGTTCTCTAAAGAACAAACAATAAATGCAGTTATCAGATAACCTAGAAGTTAAAACTTCCACACTTGTATGTTCGCACCTGAGGATAGTTAGAAACATACCGAAAAAAAACAGAAAATCCGAGCCTAAGGAATCTTATCAACTAGTAACCAGGAATGAGTCCGTTTAGAGAATTTTTTCATTTTTTTTACTATTCATCAAAATTTTTCCTCCAAAGTCAAATCAAATATATATTTTTCATTTTTTATATTATACTAAAAATTAATTTTACATTCAAAACATCACATCAACACTTACTAATATCACACCATACAACTATTCTAATTCAAAATTTTTAGTATTCAAATCCCAACTCAAAATCCAAACCCACAAACAAACACACCCTAAGAGACTTCAAACAAGATTTTACTATTCAGTTCTTATTTCCTTCGAAAAATATCAAATCAAACAATTATTTTTCATTTCTTATGGAGTATTATAATAAAATCAACTTTACATTCAAAAGCATCACATCAATATCTATTTATATCACATCAAACATCTATTCAAATTCAAACTTTTTTACTATTTAAAAACTCCAAACTCAAAAATCAAATCCTCTTTAGCTTATATATCTATACTTTCTAAGCAATCAAACATAATTTATAATAGGTTACCATCTAAGTTATTTCACGGCTGCCCATAACACTCAATCACAAATCATAACTGATGTTCACAAGTCGTCTAGTGTGCCACAAGTACATTAGATGTGAAGCGATCTTCAAGCAATCAAACACCATAATCAAATCACAGAAAACAAAAGCTATAAATCAATGCATCCGGGAGCAATATATATTCAGCAAAGTAATTAAGCAAAAACAAGCCCAACAATGCAGTACCTTTCGCTAGTCCGAAATACCTCCCCGGCATTCTCCAGCAAGATTTTGAGCAACTCCAACGCCACAATCTTCCCCTTCATAGCTTTAGGGTCTGAAATCGCATCCTTGGGTGGAGTCTTCATTGAAAGCTTACACAAAGCTCTAAAGACCAAAAAAGCATCCCTTCTCAACTTGTTCCCAATCTGAACATCCAAATCATCGTCTCTTTCTCCCTCATCCTCAGGCATCTCCCCCTTCTTACCTTCCAACCGAGACTTATACATGTTAATCTCCCAAAATCTTGCATCCAGCATGTCCTTATCCGTTGACTCTAACAAGTCTGTCGGATTTGTTCCCTCCACTGTTGCTGTCTTGGTATCAAAGGCCCCGTCATGCACCCCGATCCCTGATCCCGTCGCTCCACCACCGGGGCTGAAAACTCCATCGAAGTCCTGCATGATTTTGGTGATAAAACCTTGAACAAACACTGCCATGGAACCATCCTCATCCTCCTTCTCCAATGGTCCCATCAGTTCCGCCACGACAATAGGCTGCATCGCTACGTTCGATGAATCTGCCTCCATTCTACGGAAGATAAGAACTAGCATCTGAACCAACGACGCCTTGGCAGTAGTCTGACTCACCGCATTCTTACTGTTCAAGTAAATGTCGTAGCAAGTCCGTACTACTTGTAACAAACAATCGCCGTGTATCCTCAGGGAGACCGCCATAACCGCCGATAGCAGCGTTTTGATCACCAATAGCTCCGCATTTTCATCCCCTAAATCGCGGCATTTGCAGGCCGAATCAATCAATTTGGACAATAGCTTCGCTTCCGGTCCTCCGCTTGGATCGGCTTCCCCGTGGAGATATCCATGGGCAATCAATTTCTGCACCGCGTCAAGAGCGGGTTCCGAAACCTTAAGATTGCCAGTCGAGAGCGCATTGACTAGGGGGCTGAGAATTAAACTGGAACTGGATAGTGGGAGATCGAGGAGGACGCCGGAGTGCGACGGGGCCTCGAGATCCGATTGGGCGGCAGGGGAAGCAGGAGGTGAGTTGGGTACTGGGCTTTGATTCGTCGAATTGAGGTGTTCAATGACGGATTTACACTCGGCGGCGAGTTTGGAGTGCTTGAGCCAGGACGAATTTTTCACTATCTTGTCTAGGGCAGGAGCGACAACTTGGATTAAGCGGGAATCAGCTTCCGGAGAAGCCATTCCCAGAGATGGAAGATCGAGGAGCTCCGGTGGCAACGGATTCGGAGAAATGGTAGGAGCAAAGAGCGGAGGATGGACTGCAGTTGAGCACTGGAAGTGGAAGTGGATCGACGTTGGACACTTGGAGGAGATGATGGTTGAAATGACCAGAATACCCCGGCTTGGCGATCGTGAATAATAGTAATAATTAATAATTAAAGATGGTAGAGTGAGATTTAAGGAGCTTAATAGAAATGTAAAGTCAATCTTGACCGTCAATTTCATTTAAAAAAAAAATTGTGTTATGTATAAAAATTTGAATAGTTAATATAAAAAATAATATTTTATATTTAATTATTAAAAATTGAATATAAATATTATAAAGTATATTAAAAATTGTATTAAAAAAATAGAATTGATACAAAGTACGTTTAGGTTGTGTTTCGTTGGGAGTTTGGATTTTGAGTTTGGATTTGAATAGTAAAAATTTTGAATTTAAATAGTTGTATGATGTGATATAAATAGGAGTTGATGTGATGTTTTGAATGTAAAATTAATTTTTAGTATAATATAAAAAAATAAAAAATAGGTATTTGATTTGATATTTTTGGGAGGAAAAAATAAGATGAATAGTGGAAGTTAAATCCAATTCCCAAAACAAAAATAAAACCAGATCCAAGAAACTCAAAATTCATTACTCTAATATTAATGACATACTCCCTCGGTCCCAGATATTCTGGGTTTATTATCGTATATACGAGAATTTAGGTAAAGTATAATTAGTAAATAATTAAAAAGTGTATTAATAAAAATAATTATTATTTAGTAAAAATAATTATAGATTAAGATTAAGATAACTAAATAGTTTAATTAAAAATAAAAAAATTATAAAATTCAAAATTTAAAATGTGATTAAAGTGCATAATTATATTTCCAAAGACAAGTTACGTGGGACGGACGAAAATAGAAAACATGGACAAATTATGTGGGGCGGAGAGAGTATTAATTTGCATTTGTGTAACAAACTATTTAAATTTCATTGAGAACATGAGCTTCTTTGGTTTTATATTTCAATTTGAAATTTTGATTTAAAATTTGATTTAAATAGTATTTCGATATAGTATTCGATAAAATTATTAAATTAAATTTAAAATTCAAACCAAGCGACACTCCGTATGCTAATTTGTTGGTTTAGTGAAAATCATCACAAGCCATATTATTCATAACTCTCTCTACAAATTTGGACAAAAGGTAAAAGGATTGGTGTGTTCTTTTGAAGGTTTTAGATTTTGTCTTTAGGATCTGAATAATAAAAGTTAGTTATACAATGTGTTATAAATAGATATTAATGTAATATTTTAAATATAAAATTAATTTTAATATAATATATAAGAAAAATATATTTGATTTGATATTTAAAAAAATCGATAAATAATAAAATCCTTGATATAAACACTAAAAAAGAACACACCTATCAATTTTCTTTGTTGCACAACAACATGGTTCCATTTAGTACATATTAATATTATCCCAAAAGTTTTAGTCTCAAATTTTTTTTGAATATTTTGATATCATCTATCACCAATTATTTTTGTTTTGTCATAAATAATGTCGTGTTCATTAACATACACTCTTAAAGCAGTGAAATAAATGAACATTGGATGTATATATATAAAGATTCTTTAATTATTGTATAATTTTTTATTTATTTTTTTTTATGACGTAGGAACCGGCAGCTGTTACCCGAAAGTGCGAGGCGTCGGGAATTTGAACCCATAGACATTATATAATCTTTAATTACAGAATATATATATATATATTTACGGTCATGTTTGTGTGAGTGAGAGTTTGTTATGTTGTAAGGACCAATTCCTAACAAAACATACCTAAAAATCTTGTCATAGGAAGGAATGACCCAATATACAACTCGAACCCGACCCATTTATTTGGGATGAGTCCAATTATTCAGATATTGGGTCCGAGTTCGGGTCGAGTATTGTATACTGTTATCGGGTCTGGATTGGATCTCGTGTCCAAGGGTGGATCGACCGGGATCCAATTAATATAATACTAATATATTAATTATATATATAATAATTTTTAATAATATAAATTATATTAAAAATATGCTTTTACTTTAATTTATTGTTTTTTATTATTTCATTATAATATTTTTGAATAAAATATATAAAGGTCCAATTTAAGTTAAATTAAGAATTGTAAAAAAAAAAAAAAATTCAAGTCCGCAGGTCTATCGGGTCTGCTGATCTATCGGGTCTTATCTGGTATTTTTGGGTCGGATCCGAGTATAATCGAGTCCAATTCGGGTTTCGGGTCCAACCATGTGTATTCGGATCGAGTCTCTATTCCAGATAGACCCGACAGATTCAAAAGTATTACTCCCTCCGTCCAGCTAGAAAGTATGCATATTTCTATTTTTGGACGTCCAATTACAAAGTAAACATTTCATTAAATACTCATTTTTTTTTCCACAAATACCCTTACTTTACATTACATCATTACTTTTATACCAAAAAACAAGGGCAAAAATGTCATTTTACTACTTTTAACTTGTGTGGACTATCAGATTCTAAAGTATTTGTTTTTTTAATTATAGTAAAAATAATCATATATAAATATTATTTTTTATTTTTTTACTAGGATAAAATATCAAAATTATATTAGATACTTTCACTAATTAATAAAATATAATTATTTTTTACTCTATTTGTAAAAAATAAAAAGGTACATTAGATTGAGACCGATGAAGTATCATATTAAAGACTAATTTTCTATACAAAACATCGTCACCGATTTAAATCTCAGTATACTTATATTCCATTCAACTTTTACTATTTTTAAAAATCTTCAAATCTAAAAGTGAGCTCTAGCACTTAATCAAGTCTAATCAGCATTTTAAAATTAATTTTGTATTTTTGGACTAATTATTTTTAAACTTGTAAAATTAACATCATAACATTGTAACATGACAAAAATATAAAAAATAATGATTTAATATGTTACCATGTATATTAGAAAAATAATGAATAATCACCAATATTTTTGGGTATACCAAAAATTAAAGCTCCATTATCATATCAATATATATTTATACATATCAAATAGTCTCTTAAGTTATATACGTGTTGTATATTTTAATAGGTGGTGGTTATAATTAGCATTTTTTTTTTTTTCAGACGTATCTTTTAAATTTAAAAAAAACACTGTTTAAAAGTTTAATCAAATGTTTATATAACATATATTTTTTTCATTCGTCAAATTTATTATCGTTTTTTTAGTCCGTCCGCTAAATTTATCTTATTACCAATTTTAGCAAATTTAACAAATCAACCTTTAATTATTAGTCTATGTTCAACACTTATTTACAATAAATATCATTAATTTTATTACATTATGTCTCTTATTTACTTTAATTTATAACTAAATTTTCAAAAATACCTCCAATCATATACTTCCCCCGTCCCATAAAGAATATTCATTTGCTTTTTGCACATAATTTTAGAAATATTAGTATTATATTGGGATATAGTATGAATAAAGTAGAAATAACTAAAATAACCTTATTAGTATGTGTGATATAAAGGTAATGACATTTGTGTAATATATTGTAAGTTGTAAGGGTATTTGTAATGTTAGGTAGATAGTACAATTATTAAAAAAGAAAATGGATATTTTGTTACGGGATGGACTAAAATGGAAAAATGGATATTTTGCTCGAGGACGAAGGGAGTATTATTTTTTCAATAAAATATTTATTTTTCTTTTTAGATGTTTTATGGAGTCTTGAATTGATAACATTCAATTTTCTTAAACCAGCAAAATAATAAATCGTAATAATATTTTTATGATGGAAAAAATATATATATAAAAAAAAAGATATTTGAATATTATGCCTATCATATAAAAAAATGTTAATTTTATATGATATTTTGTAATACCAATTTTTTTAATATATGCCAAAACAATTTCTACTTGTATGAATTTATAAATATTGAAATTTAATTATGTAGAGAACCATAGACGTATAACTGTATAATTAATTTTGTTAAATGAAATATTTTCTTATTTTCACTTTTGGCATATGGACAAAAGACATTCTGCACAGCCGCTGCCTCAGAAACCAAAAACAGCAAATTACTTTATGCTGCTACAGACAAACACAAACTGCAGGAGACTCTCACCTGTAACAGTTGATTATGTGTGTGTTGTCTTGTCCATTTTGTCTCATATGTGCATATATTCATACAAGACAAGTTTGATAAAATGAGGATAGTCAAAGGAATGCCAGATCTATCTTGAGAACCGCCCTATTCTATTTGTGTGCTAAGAGAATTAATTGTTGCTTAATTTACACTCAAATCAGACTGTTGTATACACAGCATGGAATAGTCTCGGTTTAGTGACATAGCACATTTTTGAGAGCTTATCCTAAAGAAAGAAATTATTGTAGAAGCTCTCATTCGAATCCCTCCTTATCTCCATGTTTTTTACCTGTGTTTGATACACAAAACCCACCGGAGAAGTTTCCGGGGGGAGAAGTTCTCGGAGACCCAAAAGAGATGACAACCAGCTTGTTGGATGCATTACTCTAGGCTTGTTGTATACAGTGGCGTCAGTACGCGTTTGTGACTACCAGTACCTGTGCATTGAATGCAAGGTAAGCCTTTATGGAGGATATGTGTTAAGTGAATTTAAGGTTGTTACGTATTATTTTCAGTATTGATTATAGTGGAGTATCTCCTGGATTGGGATCCCCAGATGTAGGTTGTTATAACCGAACTGGGTTAACAAATACCTGGCTCATTTATTATTTTTCTGCTCAAGTATTTATATCGTTGTCAATGAATTGTTATTACTGTGAATTAACTGTTCTTCAAGGGAAGTTGGCACTATTTAAGGTGTTTGAATTCGAAGCAGACTTGTCAAATCACCGTTTCCCAACAAATTTAACATCAGTTGAAACATTAAATAAAAAAAGTTCATAATAATAATATAATTAACGCAAATTAGAATTTTTTAGAATTGTTAAACTTAGGGATTAGTCATATAACCAACAATTAAAATTAGCAAAACCCTAATTAATTAATTAAATTTTAATTACTTCCACGGGAGCGAGGGGGCACGTGCACACTAGCCTGATTCCTGCAGCTTCCTACAGGAGTCACGTGCCTGTTCAGGAGCTCACGTGCCAATTCTTGAAGATCACCTCCGCCGGCGCCGGCCAGCGGCGAGTCAGCGGATGCCGGCGGACGAGGGTCCTGCAGCCTTTGGTGAATCGTCCACGATGGGTAAACCCCTGAGTCGCATAACGCCGACAGGTGATCGTTTACCGACGATGCCGGAATCGCCGGAAACTCAGATATCGAATTCCCCGGCTGTATGACCGTCGCCGGCGCCGGCGCCGGAATCTCCAGAGCGGCCAGATACGCTTGCAAGCAAGAGAGCTCTGCTTGCAGATTAACAACCTGTATGTATATAATTCAGATTTTGATTTTTAACAATAATTGTTGATTTTTTAACCTAATTAGAAAATCCATTTCTTAATGCCCTAAAATTGTATGAAAATAAATATGGTAAATTGATAAAAAATTGCACAAAATATCATATCTTTTATTTATTGAGTGAAACCTCGTGCTAATGTAAATTGCACGAAACACTCTTTTGTCCAAAAGTGATGTTTGGTTATAAATAAATACATAAAATTAGGTAATTTTTATACAAATAAAAAATAAAAAATATTTTAAATAATTTTTTTGGAATAAAATAAATAAATAAATAATTGATCATTAATTTATTTTAATAGTTTTTTGGAGACTAATTATTTGATTTTTACAAATACTATAAAAATACTATCATTAGCTGATCAAACATCGGTTTTGGATAAGGAGGGTGTTTAATGTCAACTTTACATTAAAACAAAGGTTTCACACAATAAATAAAATATAGGATATTTTGTGCATTTTTATTAAAACACAAAACCGTAATACGCTCTTCGTCATGCAAATGTGTGATCATTTGATCGGATACGAATTTTAATAAAAGTGAATAATAATTATTAATTTTTTCTTTTATAGTAAAAAATAGTACAAAAATAAAATAATTTTTTACTTAAAAAAAAAAAAAAAAAGACCATTTCCTTAATAACTGCAGAGTTGAAGAATTTTAAGATGAAGAAAACATCAGCAGGAGCTCCCGGATGCTAACTCCAGGACAGGATCCGGCTAGTTGAAAATACGTTCTGGAGTTGAGATCCATGGAGCGTAGAAGAATAGAGCAATGATTTTAGTCAGAATCAGGTTTCTTGATTTCAGTGAGTCTGTAACTATACAATATATAAAATAACATATATATATATATATTTATTTATGTACGAAAAATTTATGGTCTACATTACTTAGCTTGACTGATATTAAAATATAGTAGTCTATGTAATAAATTGAATAGTGATCTTTTAAAATTCCCAAGTAAATATTGAGTTAATTAATTAGCATAAGCCAAAAATGCCAACTAAAACCCTTACAAATTACTCAACCACCAAAGAATTTGGTTCAATTCCACAAATCCCAACAAAATCTCATCAATTTTAGTCTTGATTTGGATTTTCCCAATGTTTTGGATACACATCTTACATATATACATATATTCATAATTCATAATACTTAGGATATGTTTCTTTTGATGAGTTTGGAAAAAAATTAATTTAAATTTAGTATTAAAGTAATATACGTGAGATATTTCAAGAGAGAAAAAAAAAATTCTTTTATAAAAATACAAAATTCAAATAATAAAATTTAATGTTGTGTTCTTTTGTGAGTTTTAAGAAAGATTTTTATTATTCAGATTTTTTTTTCCCTCCAAAAATATCAATTCAAACAAGTTATTTTTTTTACATTCAAAACATCACATCAATATCTATTTATATCACATCAAACAACTATTCAAATTCAACTTTTTACTATTCATAAATCTAAAATCCAAAACCCCAAATTAAACCCACAAACAAACACACCTTAAAATTTTTAGACAAAAGAAACGAACCCTAGATGATATATATACATATAAATATAAAATGAAATAAATAGTAAAGAAATGACGTTTCTTCTCAGAAATTCCGGTCCAGACCGGAAAATCAGTGTCCGTATATTACCAACCCATTGTTAGGGTTATACATACAAACACACACACACATACAAAATTATACCTATAGATATGTGTATGTATGTATGCATGCAATGTATTATTTATTTATTTATTTATTTATTTTTATTTCGTTTTTTCTTTTTAGGATTTGTCTAAATTGTTGATTGAAAAATGACGTATTCGTGGAACCAAACACCAGATAGAGGGTATTGATCCACGCCGTTAATAGCATCCATCAACGGCGGAGATTCATCCGGTGCTGAGGTTCCTGGATCTCCGATCCAAAGAACCACTTACTACAGATATCCCTCACAATAAATAAATAAATAATGAATGAAGTAATAAATCTATTCATAGTAAAATCTCATCATTTCTGTCACAGATCATCAATAATGAAACACTGTATCTATAGTCCCACCTATATATGTATATATATATAGAGAGAGAGAGAGGGAGAAAGAGAGAGAGAGTTAGATATAGTTTGACTGTATTTAAAGAGTGTTTTTTTTTTTTTTTTAATGAATTTGAAAAAAAATTAATTTGAATTTGGTATGAAAATACGTTTGATGAGATATTTTGTGATAATTTTTTTTTTTTTAGAAAAATATAAAATTCAAATAGCAAAATTTAAATAACTTTGTTAAAGAAGTATATATATATATATATATCAATTTTCTAAATAAATGGTTGCATTCAACCTATTTAACTTACCCAAAGAATATGGATTTGTTTACTTAAAATTTTGATTTTGTGTTTTAGTTTAAATAATAATTTTGATATAATACTTTCCTTATTATTCAAATATATATATATATATATGTATTTGTGAATTGTCATAGTAAAAAAAATATATTATTTTTTGTGATGATTGTGTGTATATATATATATATATATGTAAACTAAAACTTAAAATAAAGAAAGCATTATACAAATTAAATCCAAAGTGAACAAACCCTAGTTTCAGATCATTGTTTGTATTTATAAAATGTTTTAGGATTAAATTTTGGAATATAAAATAATAATTTAGCATATTTTTATTTTGTTTTGATTTTTTAAGCTCAATATAATATCTTATATAGTATAATAATTAATATATTTTCATAGAACACTTATACTTTACAAAAAAAAAAAAAAGAAAAACCCTCAAATATAGCCATATTATATATAGGACCTAGAAATTTGAAATAAATAAATAGAAAAATGATTAATTAATAATACGTACTTGTTGCTGAAGGGCAAAGATATGGCCGACGCAGCCGTAGATGGGGTCGCGGAGGCGGGACTGTGCCTCGTAGCAGATGGTGACGGCGGCGTCGAGGCGTTTTCCGGCGGGGATGTGGTGGAGGAGCTTCGACACGTTGCTCGCCCCGAACACCTTGTGCACCGCCGCGAAGTGCGCCGCCCCTTCCTCCGAGTCGAAGTACGGCGAGAACACGCACCCCGCCACGCACTTCCGCCGGAGAAACTTGCATGCCCCGCACGGCCCCCGCCCTCCGCCGCCGCCGCCGTTCGCCGCCATGTTAACGCTGCTACTGCTGCTGCTCATATATATATGTATGTATATATACTGTGTGGATTTGGGATCGGAGAAATTAATGTATGTGTCGATTTATGATCATCGGATCTTTGTTGAAAATTATGTTTGAGAGAGAGAGAGAAAGAAGAGAGAGAAAATGAAATGAATTGGAATGGAATTGGATTTTACCTTTATATATATATTGTGTAATAATTTGGCTTTAGGGTTTGGTAGGATGTCTCCTCTAGAGTTTCTTCTTTTAAAAATTCATTTCAATTTTTGTAATATGCAAATATATATATTCAATATTTTTATAAAAATAAATTATTTTATTTTATATACATATTATACTTCTTTTGTTCTATAAGAAAGTATCATAGATTTTTACGTGTTGATATTTATCTAAAGAAAATAACAAAAATATTTATATTATTTTTTTATAATACAAATGCATGAGCGGTTCTCAACAGAGGATCCAAAATTTAAGAGGACCCATATTTAAAATTTTTTTAATATATTATTAGATATATTAAATTTAAATTTTATTATATATATTTCATAATTACTCAATTCAATTTTAATTCTAAAATTAAACTTTAAATCCTAATAAATATTTTTTTAAACACTTATATTTTCTTTTTAACTATATCTACTCATCCTTTTAAATTGCAAATCTAATCATTGTCTACTCACGTATAAATTTTGTAACGAATAATATACTTAGAGTTCATAGTTATTATATTATTATTATATTATTATTATTATTGGATTATTATTTTTATAATGGTCAATATTTTTTATTTATTTTCGACTGATGATATATTTTGTATGTATGACCGTTTATTAAATATATAATTAAAATAATTTTTATTTTTTGGGGATTTATTATTATATTTATGTTGAATATTAGATGCCCGATCCTTAAAGCGGAAGCGTACCTGATGAAGCCATATACAAATCTTGGGTGATTAAAGGTTTGGTCTTCCAAGATCAGAGAGCCGGCTTCTATTCTGTCCTTGACGGGTGAGGAGCAGAAACTGCAGGGAGAATTAGATCTCTTTTACGGCGTGCTGATCATGGGGACCTAACCCTAGCCTATTTATAATAGGGCAAACATAATTGCAATTACAATTATGCCCTTAATTAATATTATTAATTTGTCACGTCACCAAAATAATAATATTATATGGGTAGCTGCACTTTTATTCCATAACAATCAAACCTATCAGTCAATAATTAATTATATTAATTAGATCACTTAAATAATAAGACTGAATAAAATAATGACTTTAACAACATATTCGATACACATATTTGATCCCAAATCCAACAATCTCCCACTGGATCTAGTATGTGTCTGAATGAACATATTGTTCCTTATGAGCTCGATTTTCAGTCATTATAAAACAAGGATTGCAACAATCTGGTCCATCAATCACAACAATATAGGACTAAAGAAGCATTCGCCGTATCAACAGCTAAACTCACAGTAATCACAAATATCAGTGTAATCAAATGACATAGATCAATCATGGAACGTGCAGAGAGAAAATTACATAAGTGTGATCTAAATATGTCAATTTTCTACTGGTCCAAATTGAATGAGATCGTAAATTACTTAATCATAATGTCCAAAACATCATAACCGAAATAATGATCAAAAGAGTATAAAACAAATATCAAATGAAGGACAAAAGAATGTAAATGCATACTCCCACTACAGTGAAGCTTCCTCAAATTGTAACACACCCATATGAGCAGTATGCTCATGGAAGACCTTAGGCGTTACACCTTTAGTTAGGGGGTCTGCTAACATAGATTTCGTCCCTAAGTGCTCGATCGAGATATGATGATCTTTCACTCTCTCCTTCACAACTAGGAACTTAATGTCAATATGTTTTGACCTGGATGAACTCCTATTGTTGTTGGAGTATTCAACGGCTGAATTGTTGTCGCAGAAAATCTTGATGGGTTTTTCAACCATCGGAATGATTCGCAGCCCAGCGACAAAGTTCTTTAGCCAAATCGCTTGTTGTGATGCCTCAAAACACGCCACGAACTCAGCTTCCATCGTGGAACTGGTAACGAGTGTCTGTTTGGCACTGCGCCAAGCGATGGCCCCACCAGCCAACATATAAACATAGCCAGATGTAGATTTCCTACTATCTTGGCATCCTGCAAAGTCGGAGTCAGAGTATCCAACGATCTCCAATTGGTCTGACCTCCTATATGTGAGCATGTGATTACTGGTTCTCTTCAGGTATCTCATCACCCTCTTGGCTGCCTTCCAGTGATCCAATCCAGGATTACTAAGGTATCTGCCTAACACACCGACTATGTACGCAATATCTGGACGCGTACATACTTGTGCATACATGAGGCTCCCAACTGCCGAGGCATAGGGGATTTTTTCCATCTCCTCAATTTCCATATTTGCTTTAGGGCATTGGCTGAGACTTAACTTCTCTCCTTTAGCTATAGGGGTATCTCCCGGCTTGCATTTCTGCATGCTGAATCGCTCGAGTATTTTATCAATATAGCTCTTTTGAGATAATCCGAGAATACACCGAGATCTATCACGATATATTTGGATCCCTAATACAAAAGATGCTTCACCAAGATCTTTCATTTCAAAGTTACTCGAGAGAAATTTCTTAGTTTCGTGCAACATGCTCACATTATTTGTGGCAAATAAAATGTCATCCACATACAAAACCAAGAAAATAAACTTGCTCCCACTGAACTTATGATAAACACAGTCATCAACCACATTCATCTCAAAACCATATGAGAGAATTACTTGATGAAACTTGTGATACCATTGTCGAGACGCTTGTTTGAGCCCATAGATGGATTTTCTTAATTTACAAACCATTTGCTTTGGATCACCGATCTCAAAAGTTTCTGGTTGTACCATATAGATCGTTTCATTAATGTCACCATTCAGAAACGCCGTCTTAACATCCATTTGATGGAGCTCTAAATCAAAGTATGCCACAAGAGCCATGATTGTCCTAAAAGAGTCCTTCGAAGAAACCGGAGAGAAAGTCTCTTTATAATCAATCCCTTTTTTCTGAGTATAGCCTTTAGCTACAAGACGTGCCTTATACCTCTCCACATTACCATTTGCATCCCGTTTGGTTTTAAAAATCCATTTGCAACCTACGGGTTTTGCACCTTCTGGCAATGGGACAAGTTCCCAAACTTTATTGTCTTGCATTGACTTGTACTCATCACGCATCGCATCAATCCATTTATCTGAATAAGGACCCTTCATGGCATGATAAATATTAATTGGATCATCCTCAGTCATGCCATCATTATCCTCACTTTCTTGAAGAAATGTCACATAATCATCTGGAATGGCATTTCTCCGTTCTCTAGGGGATCTACGCAATTGCGTTGGCTCTTGAACTGTATGTTCTTGAGTTTGTTGAGTTTGTTCCATAGGTATAGGTTCCTGTTCTATGCGAACGGGTTCCTCAGTCGCACTTTGAAACTCTATGGGAGCTGGAATGACTGCTAACTCATGAGGTGTTTTATCAATCACATCAGTGATTTCTTGATCCTCAAAGGTAAAGTCTAAAACTGTATTTCTCCCCCTAAACTCAACATCCTCAAAGAACTTGGCAGTAGCCGTCTCAAAAATAGTTCTTGATGTGGGATCATAAAATTTATACCCCCTTGACCGTTCCGAGTAGCCAATAAAATAACTGCTTACTGTACGAGGTGCTAGCTTTGGTTCATTTGGTCTATAGGCCTTCGCCTCAGCTGGACAACCCCACACCCTAAGATGATTTAAGCTAGGCTTGCGCCCAATCCAGAGTTCATAGGGTGTTTTGGCAGTCGCCTTAGTTGGCACTCGATTAAGGATGTAGACTGCTGTCTTTAATGCTTCTCCCCATAATGATGGTGGCAAAGTAGATTGACTAATCATACTTCGAACCATATCCTTCAATGTGCGGTTTCGTCTCTCAGCAACACCGTTCATGCTAGGTGAACCGGGCATGGTGTATTGAGGGACGATTCCACACTCCTTAAGGAAGTCAGCAAAAGGACCTGGACGTTGTTCACCCGAGCCATCATTTCTGCCATAATATTCTCCTCCACGGTCAGATCTGACAGTCTTAATGCGTTTGCTTAGTTGATTTTCAACTTCAGCCTTAAATGCTTTGAACATGTCCAGTGCCTCAGATTTTTCCTTAATAAGGTACAGATGACCATATCGAGAATAATCGTCTATGAATGACACAAAATATTGTTGACCGTTCCACGAAGGAGTGGGAAAAGGCCCACAAATGTCTGTATGTATCAATTCTAAGACATCCATAGCTCGATAAGCACCTATCCTTTTAACCTTGGTTTGTTTACCCTTAATGCAATCGACACAAACGTCAAAGTCTGAAAAATTTATGGAATTAAGGATTCCATCCTTAATGAGTCTTTCAACTCTGTTTCTTGAAATATGACCTAAACGTTTGTGCCACAATAAACTAAAGTCATGAAATTTTCGCTTAGTACCTTTTGATTCCATATTAAGTGCCTCATTATAGGAAACCAAAATATCGAGCATATATAAACTGTCATTCACCATAAAAGTACCAAAACCAACCAAACATGAATTAAAAGACAACTCAACTTTATTGTTTCCAAAAGAACAATGATAACCGAATTTGTCCAAATAAGAAACAGAAACCAAATTCCGTCTAAATGACGGTATAATAAAAGTGTCTTGCAATTCAAGAAAATGTCCAGTACTCAATAACAGCTTGAAAATGCCCACGGCTTCCACCTCTACTGAGTCCCCATTTCCAAAGTAAATGCGTCTTTCAGCATCAGTTGGGTTTCGGTAGATCAGGCAACCCCTTCTTCACGCGCCAATCGTGAAACTTAGTACAATTCTTCTTCTCATGTCCAGGTTTCTTGCAAAAGAAGCAAGTCTTTTCAGGACGAGCCCGAGGAGCTGGAGCTGGAACATGAGCCTTAGCAGTCTCAACCTTAACGGCCTTATATTTTCTCTTATTGCCGCCTGCATCCCTTGAGGTATCCACCATATGTACCTCTTCAGTCTTATTACGCTTCATTCTTTCTTCTTCCTCAACACAGTGAGAGATGAGCTCATTAAGAGTCCACTTCTCCTTTTGAC